TAAGTCAATCACAAAAGGACAAATATTGTATGAGACCTCTACTGTAAAAACTCATGAAAAAGTTTACACACAAAAAGTAACCATCTTTGTTGGTTACGAGGGATGGGAGGGGTGGGGGGAAATACTAAATAGACAATAGATGAGTGATATCTTTGGTGAAGGCTGGGACAGTACACAATACCGGGGAAACTGGCACAACTTGTACAAGGAAAGGTCATGGAAGCTCCGTAGACACATCCAAACTCCCTAAGGGACTGAACTGCTGGACAGAGGGCTGTGAGGACCAGGGTCTCGGGGAACATCTAGCTCAAATGGCATAACAGTTTATAAAAACAATGTTCTACATTCTACCTTGGTGAGTAGCGTCTGGACTCTTAAAATCCTGTGAGCAGCCATCTAAGATACTCCACTGGTCTCACTCCTTCGGGAGCAAGGGAGAATGAAGAGAAGAGAATACAAGGAAAAGATTAGTCCAAAGGACTAATGGACCACAACTACCAAGACCTCCACCAGACTGAGTCCAGTACAGCTAGATGGTGCTCAGCTACCACCACTGACTGCTCTGATCGGGATCACAACAGAGGGTTCTGGACAGAGCTGGAGAAGGATGTAGAACAAAATTCCAACACACAAAAAAAGATCACATTTATGGCCCCCAGACACCCTTTTAGCTCAGCGGTGAAGTCACTTCCGAGGTTCACCGTTCAGCCGTGGACTAGTCAGCCCCATAAACCAAAACGGGACTAATGAGGCACAGCAGTCTAGGGACAAGGACTAGAAGGCAGAAGGGGACAGGAAAGCTGGTGATAGGGAATCCAAGGTTGAGTAAGGACAGTGCTGACATGTAGTGGGGTTGTTAACCATTATCATAGGGCAACATGTGTACTGTTTAATGAGAAACTATTTTGTTCTGTAAACCTGCATCTAAAGTGAGAATAGCAGCACAGCTGGAAGAACGTACTCGATGTGACTGAATTGTGCATGTAGAAATTTTTGAAATGGTGTATCTTTGGCTATGTATATTTTCACAAAAAAAAAAAAGATCGAGAAGGGAGAGTGTTGACATGTCGTGGGGTTGTTAACCAATGTCATAAAACAGTATGTGTACTATTTAATGAGAAACTATTTGTTCTGTAAACCTTCACCTAAAAGTACAATAAAAAAAAAGAGATTGCCTCAGGATACAATCCAGTCTTGTAGATTGAGTCCTGCCTCACTAATACAACTGCTCCCCATCATCCCTCATTAACATCATAGAGGAAGGATTTACAACATATAGGAAAATTCACACAATACGGGGAGAATCACAGCCCAGCCAAATTGATATAGACATTTTTTGGGGGACATAATTCAATCCATGCCAGTCCAGTTATGAGAATTTTTGTTTTCTCTATGTTAAGGTGTAATCCATACTGAAGGCTGTAGTCTTTGATCTTCATCAATAAGTGCTTCAAGTTCTCTTCACTTTCAGCAAGCAAGGTTGTGTCATCTGCATATCGCAGGTTGGTAATGAGCCTTCCTCCAATCCTGATGCTGCGTTTTATTTCATTTAGTTTTAGTCCAGCTTCTTGAATTATGTGCTCAGCATACAAACTGAATAAGTATGATGAAAGGATACAATCCTGATGCACACCTTTCCTGATTTTAAACCACACAGTATCCCCTTGTTTTGTTTGAACGACTGCCTCTTGGTCTACATACAGGTTCTGCATGAGCACAATGAAGTGTTCTGGAATTCCCATTCTTTGTAATGTTATCCATAATTTGTTATGATCCACACAGTCAAATGCCTTTGCATAGTCAATAAAACATAGGTAAGCCACAGATTGGGACAAAATATTTGCAAATCACGTATTTGATAAAGGACTGGTATGTAACATTACAAAGGACTCTTGCAACTCAATAATAAGACACTAGTCCAATTAAAAAATGGGCAAAAGATGTGAATACACATTTCACCAAAGAAGATACACAAATGGCCAATAACCACATGAAAAGATGATCAATATCACTGATCATTAGGGCAATGCAAATCACAACTACAAATGAGATACTACTTCACCTCTATTAGGACAGCTATAATCAAAATGACTGACAATAACAAGTGTTGGCGAGGATGTAGAGAAACTGAAACTACCCTACATTGTGCCTGGAATGTGAAATGATGCAGCCACTTTGGACAACAGTTGACAGTTCCCAAAAAATTAAACATAAATTTACCATACGACCCAGCAGTTCCATTCTTTGTAGTCTACCCAAGAGAAGTAAAAACACATATCTGCACAAAAACTTACACACAAATGTTTACACCATAATTATTTATAATATCTAAAAACTGACAATAATCCAAATATACAACAACTGAAGAACGGAAAAACAAAATGTGGCTTAACCATACAGTGGAATACAGTCTACAAATTAAAAAAAATTACTGATACATGCTACAACATGGATGAACCTCAAACATACTATACTACACGAAAGAGGCCTGAGGCCTAATGCCACATAATGAAATTTACATGAAATGCCCAGAAAAGGCAAATCTATCCAGACAGAAAGTAGACTAGTGGTTGCCTAGGGCTAGGGGTGAGACTGGAGAGTGACTGCAAATGGTTAAGAGTGGTGACGGAAATGTTCTAAAACTGAATTGTGGTGATAGTTGTACAACTTTGTAAGTTCACTAAAAAGCATTGAAACCACTTAAAAATAATGGTATGTAAATTTTACCTAAATAAAGTTGTTTAAAAAAAAAACTATACGGAAGTAAAAGGGACAAGAATAGCCAAAGCAGTCCTGAAGAACAGCCTAAAGAAGCTAGTTTTATCAGATATGAAAATTTAATAAAGCTACAGTAATTAACCTCGACTGAGGTTGCCAAAGCCAACTTTTAGAGATGATTGAGAGAGAAAAATAAGCATGCCAAATTCTTATTTTACCTTTTTATGTCTATTTTATTTACATGATGACTTCTTTTCAGTGTCCAAAACCTAATATTAAAAAAAAAAAAAATTTTATGCATTTATGTCTATTTCAGGTACATCATAATACTCTTAAAATCTTCTAAAGATTCCAGTAATATTCATCCTAATAATCATCTATTATCTACTACTACAACAGGTACTAAAGAACAAATTTTACATATATTATTTTTCCACATATATTTCATACTAATAATCAAATATTTGGTATAACTTCTAATTCCAGAATAATCTTTCCCATTTTAAACCTAAAGATATCTAGAAATAAGCACCTCTGACTTTCTAATATTTGTATATATTCATCGGCCACAAGATGGTAAGGTTTGGTTTTAAAAGAAACTTTTATTTTCACACATATTTCAATTAATTTTGAAAAGACTAGCTCCAGGTAACGTATGAGAATATAAAGTAAACAACCACTATCTGTCCGTAATCTTTTCTCACAGATTGAAAGAACACTTGAAGAAAACACTTTGCAATAACTACTTGAGTATTATTTGATGGAACTTTAAAACGCTGTATCAACCAATGATCCTTAACTTTCCTTATAAGAGGATTTATAACAGGAGTACTATTTCTATTTGCTTTGCTTTCCTTTGTTCAGCTGAGTTAATAAGGTTGCTAATCAGACTGAGGATTTCAAGAACATTCCAATTTATACTAGCAATGAGTCAAATTACTTTCAGCTACAAGGAAAAATATACAAATGAAAAATAATTTTCTAAACTGAAGTAAATTCTTAAATTTTCAATCCTAATACATGTACTAACCTATAAGGCACCCTCCTTAAAGAAACATTTATCTTTTCAAATTCTCACACTTAGTTTAAACATATTTTTAAGGAAAGAAAAACAAAAGATTGTTAAAAGTGTACTTACTTTAGCTAGCAGTTCTTGTGTTTCAGCAGTCAGTGGAGCATGGGAAAACTTGCAGTGTTCTCCCTGATAACATTTTGTTCCTGTATGGTAAAATTTGCATGGATATTCACGTAACTCAAATGTTAAGGAAGAGAACAATTTTAATCTAGCAAAAATAATTTATGCCATTAATTAAATGAGTTTATTTTTACTACACAAAGGCTTTTCTTACTAGCATTCTCTATTTAAAACGTAAGAGAATAAACTTTTCATTGGGTTACCTGAAAAATCTAATTTTAGGATGGTTATATAAATAACCACTTTTTAATTTCTTATAATAGATTACTGGTATACTTCACTGATGTAAGACAGGGACATGTACTTTAAATACCTTGGGAAATGTGATTAGTTTTGAAGCATTCTTTTGGGATGGGGAACTAAAGTCAGCCCCTTATTTAATAGTCTTACAAATCCAGATCCTTCAAATAGTAGGCTTATTTAAAATAGGATAAATTTATACAACTTCAATATTATTTTCTAGAAAAAAAATCCTCAGACTAGAATTGGGGTTTTTATGATGTTTCTATGCCATTTGCAAAGAGCAAAGGTTATTCTTCAAATTAAATTATATAATACACAATATACAGAAAACAAACCAAAACCCACTGCCATCGAGTCGATTCCGACTCATAGTGACCCTATAGGACAGGGTAGAACCGCCCCATAGGGCTTCCAAGGAGCAGCTAGCGGATTCTAACTGCCAACCTTTTGTTTAGCAGCTGATCTCTTAACCACTGCACCACCAGTACTCCCAAATTATGAAATTCCTGCCTCTTTTCACAAAGTAGTTTATAAGAACATGGATTCAATTAGGCAACATTACAGCAAAAATTCTGACAAAGTCTTTCTGGAACTTGAATAGGTCTCATGAATCCGCTACACTACTCAGGTTGCGCAGAAAGGATCTTCATGTGAGAGATTTTCCAAAGAATCTCGTTTTTCTTTCCTGGAAAAATCTGTATATAACTTAAACTTCATCACTTTGATACTGAGTTGGGCTTAGAGAGTATAATTTTGCCATATTTAAAACACTGGGTTTATTCAAAGTTTTGCATGTATAAAACGTTCATGTGAAAACCTATGAAGAGTAAAGCTACTATAACTTGAGCTAAAGGATATTATGCAAATACAGACAGTTTTCGCCTCTGTTACAATATCCCTGTACATAAAATTTACACATTTCCTTTTTCTTCTCTAGTTCTGCATCATGATCAAATTTACACTGGTCTCCCTGGGCCAAAAGAAGGAACAAGGAAAAGCCATTATTTTTCATAGTTAAATCATTACATTTTAATTCCTACTAAACTTTAGATAAGCAAATGATTCCAGAAAGAACAAAGGTCTCAGCAGTATGGTCTGATTCTTAATGAGTTATCATATAACCACATCACATGTACCCACTTAAAACTTTGTTAAGTCATAAACATTTTTAACACAAAACATTTAAAAAACTTATCTAATTTATTACTTTCCTAAACATAAAAGAATATTTCATTAAAATTTTCCAACTGAATCTTTTTCTGAAGGAAACAATTTTTATAAACCTACAGGTGTGATTTTAGTGTCAAATAGAAACAGGAATTGGTTTTAGTACATTTTTGCTACACCTCATATTTTGTATACCTTAATACATTTCCGCTCAAGAAAATATTTACAAATTTGTTTTCCTTTTCGTTCCACTGTATGCTGGTTGATGAATCCCTGACTCATTTTCACACACTGCTGCTTCTCTTTAGGTTTACCATCCTTTAAAAACAAAAAAAAATAACTAAATGTAATTTGTTTAATAAATTAAATATTTTATTCTGTTGTGCAAAATTGTATTTTAAATCATCTTTAAAACATTAAAAATTCTAATTTGTTCTTTGTGTCTAAGATTTGGACTTTTGTACACAAGTTGAAAAATAAATGATTTGTCAGTTTAAACTGCATTTTCATCTTTTGACATTAGTGTTTGTGTAATTTGAATATTTTATGGTACACTGCCCTTACTATTGTATAAAAATTAATGAAAAAAATTAGAAAATGAGAGTGCTACTACTTGTGATAAAAACAAAGTGGCTAGAAACAGAACACAGACAGAGCTGGAAATCATAAGGTGAACCAAAAGCAGTGAAATCTTTATCTTCAATGAGCTACTCACTGGGCGTGAGCTGAGCATGCAGCTCACCAGCTCAAGTTAACAAACATGACTAGAAAAATTACCCTCACAGATGGCATTTAAGGTATAAATACAAAAGTACATCGTAAAATTGAGGATTTTATAATACATTGTAACGCTTGAGAAACATAAACCACTTTTAATGTGCTAACTAGTAGTATAGTTTATAGCTTTTGCATACAGAATTTTTTAATACAGTTTTAGGAACAACGTGTGCAAAGAGGAGAACTGACCGTGCAGTCATTTATATGCTCTGTTTCTTGATGTCAAATTTCCACTTAGCACCACCAAAATTATGTCTTAAAAATACGTGTCAGTTTAAATCTTTGGTTTTATTTATGTTATTAAATTCTAACATTATGTTTAGTCTTCAGAATTTGTTCCTCAGGTAGAACGGCTGTCAGCTGTGGCTGAATAATCATGAAAGGGAATACCGACTAGGGGTCAGGAAACAGAGTTCTAGCCCTGGCTTCGCCCTGTGTTGACTACGGGCAGCTACCTGAACTCAGCATTTCAGGTTCCTCATTTGTAAATATGAAGGCAGGGCTAGATTTTATGTACATTTGTTTTAATCTACAATATTTGGTATTTCTAATATTTTCCTAACCCCTAACTCTCATCCCCGTGACCAAGCCTAATGAAAAGGCTGCCATCCAGTCTGGAAGCCCTCAGAAAAGCAAAGTCCAGGGAGTCACTTATTGTCCTACCCTGATTATATCCACAGACCAAGGGAGCAGAACTTCCATAAAGCAACAATTAGGAGGCTTGCAGGTGGGGAGATTTGGTAAGGCCAATACTCAGAAATACTCATTTTTAATTTCCAGAGGGAGTCATGAACCAACAGAGCGGGGACTGCATAGTAAAAACTTTGCGTAACTTTGTGGCCTTTGAAATGTCCTCATGGTTATTTTATCTACTCTCTGCTTCTCTATTTTTCATAGGTGTTAACAGTACACACTCAAAAAACCAAAGGGTTTGTGTGCATGTCTTCAGGGGTACAGGGAGAATACCCAGGCCTAAATGAGTGCTGGCAGCTAATGAGTGATGGGGCAAGGAGCTGTAGTGGTCAGAAGAAAGAACACGGAGAGATCAGTGAGGGCAGGAACTCTTCAACAGAGAACCCTGATTTTATGGGATGCCCTCACCTCTTAGTATCACATAGCACTTCTCATCACTGAGTTATAAAATAAAAATCAAAGAGTATGTAGGTGTTCTCCTACATTTATGTTCTTGTACCTCTTCCTGTGAGCCATTTTTTCTCAGCAAAGCACTTGATTCTTTGTTTCCAGTGCCAGCCCATTTTCGCTTCATTTTCTTCTGTTTACCATTCTTGTGGCCTGCTTTAAAATTTTTATTTTTTTGTTTAACAGCTGAAGACAAAAAAGTTAACTTTTTAAATGACATAAAAATACAATAGCAGTTTACTCTTAAGAAATACGTTCTATAATAATCTAGGAAAAGTTCTCCACAGTCCAATGAGTAAAAACTGATAAAATGCTGACCGTGTTTCTGGAAGCTCTGGGATTAAGAGACCAAACTGAGAATTCTGATAATACAATCTAGATTCCCAGTTCATTTTTTTTGAAAATATATATAAGGTATTGTCAGGCAAAAAAGCAAAATAATTAATGGACTCAATCTTGCAAGCCAGAAGCCAGAACTTTCTGAAGCACTCAAGAGTGTAATGGACCTAATTAGGAACTGTCATGGCACTAAAACAGTACAAGCTTCAAACATTTAAAATGACCTTGCATATAATCCACTGTCAGATTTTTCACTGAAAAACATTTTATAGATTAAACTAATCTACAGACCCATTAAATAGCAGAAACACTTTAAGATAGAGAGAATCGGGGGGAAAAAAAAAAAACAGTAAAACTAATTTATGATCATCATTTGCCTTCGTATCTAGGGACAAATCTCATTTTAGCAGTCTAAAAGAACACATTTCTGAGTTATATACAACCATTCCTGACATCGATTAAATCAATTCTACTTTAAATAATACAAACTGGCCAGGGATTTGGCATTCTCTCTTTGGAAGTCCTCACGGACTTTGATAACCATCCTGCACCCCTAGCTCCTCCTGAAAACAGCATCTATACACAAAGCAGCCAGGTCTCAGGTGGGGTCTCAGGCCATGCAAATTCATACCTGGTGTAAACCTGCATGAAAACTGTGATCTTATCATGAGATGAAGTGTGGGAAAAAACTCCTGTCCATATATGGACAACTATGAGTGCTTCTCTAGATAAATTTTAAATGGTAAAATAATCTGACACTTACTTTGCTGGGTACCTTTTGCCCTCTCTTTCATCACGGATTCTACAGGAAACAGTGAAGGTTGAGCAGTATTTGCCATTTCTTTAGCTTGTATATATCGTTTAAGCTCTTCAGCAAAATTATCTTCTGATCCCTGACTGCAGACATCATTGTCATCACTATACGCATCGTAGTCCTTACTTCTTGATTTTCTATGTTGCAAACTCTTTTGTGATATCATAGAGTTTCCAAAGTGCCTACACTAAGTAAAAATTAAATTTCCAGTTTTAAAAAACTAGTACAATTTTTTGACAAAGGTGACCCTGCCAAGATGGGGGTGGGGGGGGATAGTCCTTTTCCCTCTGAGGAATGGTGCCAGAATAAATGGGTTTGCATAACAACAAAAACAAAATTAGTCCCTGTTATGGACTGAATTGTGTCCCCCAAAAATATGTGTTGTAAATTCTAGCCTCTATGCCCGTGGTTATAATCTGTTTTTCAAACGGGTTGTCTTTGTTATGTTAATGAGACAGAATTAGTATAGGGTGTGTCTGAAATCAATCTCTTTTGAGATATAAAAAGAGATTAAACAAGCAAGAGAAAGAAGCAGAGATGGGGGAAGACTGATGCCAAACCACATGGAGACTTCCGAGGAACCAGGAAACAGAAGCTGAAGAGACAAGGACCTTCCCCCAGAGCTTACAGAGACAGAAATCCTTCTCCTAGAGCTGGCGCCCTGAATTTGGACTTCTAGCCTTCTAAACTGTGAGAGAATAGACTTCTGTTTGTTAAAGCAATCCACTTGTGGTATTTCATTTATAACAGCACTAGATAACTAAGACGGCCCTCTACTTCATGGTATACACAAACATCAAATTCCAGGTGAATTATAAACTTAAATGTGAAAGGAAAAACAATAAAGCTTTTAGAAAATAATGTAGAAACATATCTTCATTATCTCAAGATATTTAAGCAAAACATATAAAGCACTGCTTATGAAGGAAAATATTAATAAATTTAACTGAATTAAAATTATGAACTTCTTTTCATCAAAAAATGCCAGAGTGAAAAAAAAAGCCACAAAATGAACTGATATTTGCAACACATTACCCACCCACAGCAATGAAAAAAATTAAAAAAACCTTTATACCCAGAGTAAACTACACATCAAGAAAAAACAGACAACTCAATAAAAAGAGAAGAGGGGGCAAAAAGACTTGAACAAGCACAAACAGGAAATCCAAATGGTCAAACATATCAAAAGATGCTCCACCACATTAGTATTCAGGAAAATACAAACTAAACTACAATAAAATACCACTGTACCCTCACCAGATGGCAAAAAATAAGAAGGGTAATGATACCAAGTGTGCACCAGTGTGTGGAGCAGAAGAAATAGTCTCTCATACACTGCCTCTGGGAATAAAAACTGGTATAACCACTTTCAAAAACAGCTTGGTACTATGGTTAATGGTAAGATGCTCAGACTCTAACACCCAGCAGCTCCACTCCTGGGTGAATGCAGAGTATGTGCCGCAGGATACAAGTTAACGAATTGTCTTAGTTACCTAGGGCTGCGATAACAAAAATACCACAAGTGGATGGCTTTAACAACAGAAATTTATTTTCTCACAGTTTAGGATGCTAGAAGTCTTAATTCAGGATGCCAGCTCTAGGGGAAGGCTTTCTCTGTCAGCTCTGGGGGAAGGCCCTTGTCCCTTCTGAGCTTCTGCTCCTGGGCCATCTTCATGTGGCTTGGCATTTCTCTTCCGTCATCTCTCTGCTTCCTTAATCAGTTCCCTTGTTTAATCTCATCTATATCTCAAAAGAGATTGACTCAAGACACACCCTACACTAACCCTGCCTTGTTAACATTACAAAGACAATTTATTTCCAAATGGGAGTATAACCACAGGCAGAAAAACCCAAAAACCAAACGACTACTGACTACGACTACTGTTGACTATGACTCATAGTGACCCTACAGGACAGAGCAGAACTGCCTCATAGGGTTTCCGAGGCTGTAATCTTTGTGAAAGCAGACGGCCACATCTTCCTCCCGCGGAGCGGCTGGTGGGTTCGAACCGCTGACCTTTCAGTCAGGAGCCAAGCGCTTAACCACTGGACCACAAGCATAGAGGTTAGGATTTACAACACGTATTTTGGGGAGACATAATTCAATCCATAACATGAATGTAGCAACATTTTTCACAGTCACCAAAAATGAGAAACAGATCAAATGCCCATCAACTAAAGAATTTGGTATATTCAGACAATGAAATAATATGAAGCTATGAAAATGAACACACAACAATATACCACAATATTTAAGAATCTTAAAAACATAATGTGGACTAAAAGAAGCAAGATGAAAAAGAGCATATACAAAACTATTCTATTTTTATAAAGCTCAAAAACAAGCAAGAAAAAACTATATTCTTAGGGAAAACTACATAGGTAGTAAAACTGTAAAGGAAGTGATTATTATGCGAGTTAGGATTGTGTTTTCTAGGAGAAAACAAAGTGGCACCACTAAGAAGGTATGCAAGATGGAAGCTTGCAGATTTTGCAATGCTCTTTCTTGACTTGCAAAGTGTTTACTGGGAGTCTTCTTTATAATTAGCTGTGATACTATGTGTTCATATTCTATGCACTTGTGAGTAAAGACCCTGGGCTGGAGCACACCTGCTGGGGAAAACCTTCAGTGTCCACCTTCCCACAGTACTGTTCCTTGGAAACTACTTAAGATAACTGCATCTGCCTTGTTTGCTGTATGGGGTTATATGTGGACTGGGGAGCTTTAAGTTGGCGTAGAGGACTGGGCCCCTACCTGACTAAAACAGTATGAAAAACGTGTGGGAAATCAAAGCTGTAGTTTCTCAGTGTCAGGGTGACTAAACCACACAACCCTTGGTTCTCATCCATGGCAGCCATACATGCCCCAAAGGGCAAAAGAAGCTGTATACTTGGGTAGCTGCTAGGCCTCCCAAGGAGATGAAGATACGGCACCTGCTGTCTCACCTGTCCTGTAGCTTTCTATACAGCTAAGTAAAAGAGCATCATATTAAAGACTTGTCTCATTGCCAATTCACACCTATTCTTCTGCAGATGTGTTAAAACTCACAATTAAAAAAAAAGTTTAAAAAAAGAAAAAGAAAGTGGGAAGAGAGGAGCAGACACTGGCTTAAAGCTATAAGTCACTAAGGTGATTAAGTTAGCAAATCAAAATCCTTAAAATGTTTCATCTTATTTGAATGGAAAGAAGTTCTTGAAAGTTTAAAACTCATTTCAGAAACAGGGAAGAACTCAAATAAAAGAAATTCACTAAAAATAGTTCATGTTAAATGACAAGGGTCTTGAATGATAAGTTACAAAAAAACTCTAACCAAGTTTCCTTGACATAAGTAATTGGGTCCCAAATGTTGACAAAATGAAACAAAAAGGATTCCTGTCTGGTGCTTCAGTATGTCAAATCAGTCTTACTTTTGGGGGGCTTTGCTCACACTCCAGTTTTATTTTCTCTTCATGTGTTTCTTCAACTTCTGTATCATCTATTTCATCATCGATTCTGTAGCAAAAACATCAAATAACATAAAAGGGGTTTTAAAACTTGAAAAGGCTTCATATCACAGCATTAAGATCCACTGTTCCAGCTTATATTCAACTTGTCTTCCAATTCCAAATTCAAATTCTACTCCAAATACTCCAGAAAAACAATGTACAAAATTATGATGAACAGTAAATGTCAACACATGTTCATAAGTAAGCTGAAATGCTGAAAATTTAGATTACATAAACTTAAAGTTCAAATATTAGCAGCTATAGAAATCATTCATTCATGAGTATCCACCATACACCAGGCTCTATGCCTTAAGTCCGAGGATGCAACAATGAAAAATATAGATCCTGTGCCAGCCCTCTGAGAGCTTTCTATCTGCCTGGAGAAAGAAATAAAGCCATTAAAATATGGTGTGAAAATATAGGAGCATCTATGAGGAACACTTAAGACAGACTTGGGGGGCCAGAGGTTTTCTGAGCCTAAAAGACTTGTAAGGGTTAGCAAACAAAAAGGAGTGTAAGGGAGAAGAATATTCCAGGTAGAATGAAGAACGTACTCTGAGGTTAAGAGGAATATGAAAAAGAAAAGCTGTTTTCAGACTCTCAAAATACCAAGAAGTTTACAATCCATAGACATCATCTCAAACAATTCCTTGAGGATATTCCAGCAAAACTAAAACTGAGTTCAAGAAAGATAGAGATAGGAAATATAAGAACTGCAGAAAAAAGAAGCCAATAAAATTTATAAATGAATCTAAATAACGGTTGATGCGACAGAGATAGGGGACTGAAGAAAATGATATCTCAAGCAAGTAGTGACTGCTGAATAAAAGCTTTGAAAAATTTTTTAATTAAGATGAGGTATATGCCAGAAAACGCTCAGCTGCTAACCGAAAAGTTGGAGGTTGGAGTCCATGCAGAAGCACCTTGAAAGAAAGGCCTGGCAGTTTACTACTGAAAAAGTAGCCATTGAAAACTCTGTGGAGCACAGTTCTACTCTGACACGCAAGGGGTTGCCATAAGTCAGAACCAACTTGATGGCAACTTGTTGGTTGGTTACGTGTCAGACAAAAGCAAGCATTAGGAAATGTGTATATTCTTAAAAGAACATGTTGCAAACTGAAGATTTTTACCGGCTTCTGCAGTCTGAAATTGATCAAACACGCAATCAGGATGCATTGATAATTACTGGTGATTGGAATGCGAAAGTTTGGCAGCTTGAGAAGGCAAAGTATAATAATGACATATGCAAAGAGCTGGAGATAGAAAACCAAAAGGGAAAAACATGCCCCGCATTTTTCAAGCTGAAAGAACTGAAGAAAAAATTCAAGCCTCGAGTTGCAATAGTGAAGGATTCTATGGGGAAAATATTAAACAATGCAGGAAGCATCAAAATAAGATGGAAGGAATACACTGAAAGAACTGGTCAACGTTTCAAGAGGCAGTATATGATCAGGAATGGATGGTACTGAAGGAAGAAGTCCAAGGTGCACTGAAGGCATTGGTGAAAAACAAGCTCCAGGAATTGATGCAGTATCTACTGAGATATTTCAACAAATGGATGCAGTACTGGAAGTGCTCACTCATCTATGCCAAGAAATAGAGAAGACAGCTACCTGGCCAAATGACTGGAAGAGATCCATATTTATGCCTAAATTCCCAAGAAAGGTGATCCAACTGAATGCAGAAATTATCGAACAATATCATTAATATCACACAGAAGTAAAATTTCCTGAAGATCATTCAAAAGCGGCTGCAGCAGTATATCAACAGGGAACTGCCAGAAATTCAGGCTGAATTCAGAAGAAGACGTGGAACTAGGGATATCACTGCTGATGCCAGATGGATCCTGGTTGAAAGCAGAGAATACCAGAAAGATGTTTACTTGTGTTTTACTGACTATGCAAAAGCATCCAACTGTGTGCATCATAACAACTTATGTATAACACTGAGAAGAATGGGAATTCGAGAACACTTAATTGTGCTCATGAGGAACCTGTACATAGATCGAGAGGCAGCTGTTCAAACAGAACAAGGAGATACTGCATTGTTTAAAGTCAGGGAAGGTGTGCGTCAGGGTTGTATCCTTACACCATACCTATTCAATCTGTATGCTGAGCAAATAACCTGAGAAGCTGGACTATATGAAGAAGAACGGGGCATCAGGACTGGAGAAAGACTCATTAACAATCTGCATTATGCAGACGACGCAACCCTGCTTGCTGAAAGTGAAGAGGACTTGAAGCACTTCCTGATGAAGATCAAAGACTGCAGCCTTCAGTATGGATTATACCTCAACATAAAGAAAACAAAAATCCTCACAACTGGACCAATAAGCAACATCATGATAAGTGGAGAAAAGACTGAAGTTGTCAAGGATTTCATTTTACTCGGACCCACAATCAACACCCATAGAAGCAGCAGTCAAGAAATCAAAGACTCATTGCATTAGGCAAATCTACTGCAAAAGACCTCTTTAAAATATTGAAAAGCAAAGATGTCACCTTGAAGACTAAGGTGCGCCTGATCCAAGCCATGATATTTTCAATCACATCATATGCATGCGAAAGCTGGACAATCAATACGGAAGATCGAAAAAGAATTGACGCTTATGAATTGTGGTGTTGGCAAAGAATATTGAATATACCATGGACTGCCAAAAGAATGAACAAATTTGTCTTGCAAGAAGTACAACCAGAATGCTCCTTAGAGGTAAGGATGGCAAGACTACGTCTTACATACTTCGGACATGTTGTCAGGAGGGCTTAGTCCCTGAAGAAGGACATAATGCTTGGTAAAGTCAGTGAAAAAGAGGAAGACCCTCAACAAGATGGGTTGACACAGTCACTGCAACAATGGGCTCAAGCATAACTATGATTGTGGGCACGGCGTAGGACCGGGCAGCATTTCATTCTGTTGTACATAGGGTCGCTATGAGTCGGAACAAACTCGATGGCATCTAACAACATGAGCAGGATGGAACAGAGTTGATCGCCCTCTCCATTATAAAGCATATTCTTGGCTTCAGGAATACTGAGCTCTCCTGGTTTCTTCTTCCCTTACTGGCTGCTACTTCTCAGTCTCCTTTGTTGGTTCCTCATCTTTACAACTCTAAAAGTCAGTCCTCTTCTCTTCCTTGTCTATACTCTTATTCTAGGTGATATCTCCTTCTACCTTGTGGCTTTAAATATCATCTATAGGTAGTTGATTCCAAAATTCAAGACTCTAGCTCAGACCCCTCCCCTGAAATCCAGACAGAGCCGACTTCCTACTTGACATATCCAGCTGGATATCTACTAGATATAATATGCCCCAAAATAACTCTTGATCTTTTCTCCAAAACCTAACCCTCCTGCTGCCTTAAATGGCAACTCCATCCTTCCAATGACAATGTTAAAAACTCCTGAAGTCAATCTTGACTCCTCTCTCACATCCTCCATCCAATCTGTGAGGAAATCTAGTTTGGTCTACCTTCAAAATATATCCATATCTGACTACTTCTTAACACCAATACTCTGATCCAAGCTACTCTTGTCCCTCTACATTCTACTCTCAATACAACCTGAGTGGCCCTAATAAAATCGAAGTCAGACAACGTCACTTTCTGCTGAAAACCCTCCAGTGGCTTCTCATCTCATTCAGAGTAAAAGCCGAAATTCTTACATGGGATCTACAAGGCCCTACATGATCTGCCTCCTCCTACTCCTCTACTACCTCTCAGATTTCAAGTCCTACTACTTTTACTCCACTCCAGGAGTCAGACTGGCCACTCCACTGCTCCCCACCCAATCACACCAAGCTCGCTCCACCTCAGGACCTTTACGTGAACATCTTCTCCCTACTTCACGTCCCTACTCAGTGGAATGTCACTTTATCAGTGAGGCTTTACTTGACTATCCTTTTTAAAATATCTACACTCTCCCTACAATCCCACCAGCACTTCTTATCCTCCTACTCTACCTTCATTTTCTCATCACCTAAAATACTATATATTTATGTATTGTCTGTCTCCCCTTCCAATGTAAATTTCATGATATAAATCTCTTTTTTTCATTTATTGTTATACACCTAAGGCCTAGAATAATGTCTGGTACATAGCAGATGCTCAATAAATTTTTGTTGAATAAATGAGAAGTATCTCCACCACAAAAGTACTAGAAGAAAACCTAAAACCATAAAAGACTGATTCATTTGACTATATTAAAAAAAAAAAAAACAACCATTAAAAAAAATCTCTTTGCACTGAAAATAATGCTATAAGCAAAAGCAAAAGACAAATGACAAATTGGGGGAAAATATTTGTAGACAAGAGGTTAATCACCCTAACATAAAAAGAGATACTAAAATCTGAAAGATAAAGACCAACAAACAAGAGAAAAAATGGGCAAAGGATATAAACAATGAACTAACAGTTCACAGATGTTCACTATACTTTGAAATCATCATTGTCTATCATTTCGGCAAAAATCCCAAAGTTTTACCACACAATTTGTTACTGAGGTTTTGGGGAAAGAGGCAGATTGCTGGTGGGCATGTAAATTGGTAAAATCCCTAGGGAGGTCAATTGGCATTATATTCTCAAAATTACAAAAGCAAACACATTTTGATCCACTTTAGAGAAGTTATCCTACAGAATAAACTTGCCCATGTACAAAATAACAAGTTTACAAGGTTATTTATTACAGCATTATTTGTAGTAGCACAATAATAGAAACAAGTCAAAATTCATAATAAAGGATTAAGTTTAAGTTAGGTATGTCCATTCAATGGAATTCTATATTGCTAGGAAAAAAAGAATGACATTCACTGTGTACTGATGTTGAAAATTTCATCCAGAAGTTTATTTTTATACTATCATTTTTCTTTATATTCAAAGAGATTCAGAAAGAATACATAAGAAACCAAGCACAGGGGTTACCTGTGTGAGTGACAGGTTGGAAGTGAGCAAATGGAAGACAGCATTGGGAAAGACTTTTCACTGAATACCTGTTTTAAGGTTTTAGTTCTGAA